TTTGACCTACAGAGGTCAGCAAATGTCACGTGGCCCAAATTTGCACAGCAGATTGTGGCCCACCCAGTGGAGCTAGAGCGCTAAAAATGGCACCAATCGACTCGCCAGCATCTCATCTTACTTTCCCAACACTCATTTGACCTCTCAAGGTCATGCGATGACCTAAGGTCATTTGTGGGCTATGTCGAAAATACACTTGCACAGCAGTTTTCTAGTAGAGGGATTGACCGAATTCCAAATCAAAGCACATCATCGGGTAGCCCATAGTCCGTAATAACTTTTCTTAAAAACCGCTTCTCGATATGTGACCCCGTTTGACCTCGGCAGGTCAAATTGTGCAAATAAACGACACTCCATACGTCGCAGCCCAGATTCAGCCCAGATTCGGGACATCTCCGATCAAGCTGAAAATCGCAGACAATGTAGGTGCGGACATGCCAAATCCACAGTCTAAGTCATTCGGCGGTACTCCCACCCAATGATGTGCTTTGATTTGGAATTCGGTCAATTCCTCTACTCGAAAACTGCTGTGCAAGTGTATTTTCGACATAGCCCACAAATGACCTTAGGTCATCGCATGACCTTGAAAGGTCAAATGAGTGCTGGGAAAGTAAGATTAGATGCTGGCGAGTCGATTGGTGCCATTTCTAGCGCTCTAGCTCTACTGGGTGGGCCACAATCTGTTGTGCAAATTTGGGCTACGTGACCTTTGCTGACCTCTGTAGGTCAAGCGGCTGGGAGTGCCACTGAATGACTCGGACTGTGGATTGGGCATATCAGGTCCTACATTGTGTGCGATTTTCAGCTTGATCGGAGACGTCCCAAATCTTGGCTGAATCCGGGCTGCGACGTATGGAGTGTCGTTTATTTGCACATTTTGACCTGCCGAGGTCAAAGGGGGTCACATATCGAGAAGCGGTTTTTAAAGGGTCTATCCCACCTTTAACATGCGGTTTGAGTTGAGATAGCCAAGTTTGCGGCGAGGTTCAGAAACCACTATCTATCTAGGTTGCAACCCGCGCGGCCTCTTGGTGTTGAAGAAATTCGTTCCCTTCATTTGAAAATGGGCCTTGTACAAGGCCCTATCTTCAACATGGAGCGACCGTTAGTGTGACGTCACCTCGCTTAGTCATTCTGATTTAAATGGGTTTGTTCGTTGAAAAATCGCTTAAAACTTGGTCTGAACTTTGTTGTGGTGCCTATAGAGTAAAAAGAATCAGCTTTATGACAGTAATGTGGCCTGGGGAGGGAGGTAATTTTGGGCTGTGACGTCACATATTTGAAAGTTTGTGTTTGGAATATGGGAAGCCTAAGATGTTTAATGAAAAATAAATGCCAGAACCGTGTTCCTGGTCATCCAATCTATAAAGTCGGGCACAATTTAACTGGTTTTAACAACATTTTAGAAGGTGGGATAGTCCCTTTAACCCGCGCCCTGCTGGGGGTCCTGGATTTCCACGCCCTGCTGGGGGGGGGGGTGTTTGAACACCCCCCCCCCCCTTCTAACTCGGCTCCTGGGCCACGTAGCGATACGCGGAAGGCGGCGTTCGAAAGGGCGTCAAAAATAATGAGGAAATCACTTCGGTCAATTTTTTGGTCAGGTCAAAGGTCAGGTCACCAGAGGTCATTGAAGGCAAAATTTCGCCGATTTCCAGGTCGAATGTCGAAAATTTCCAAGAAGCCAACGCATAACTCGGGAACCAATAGAGCTACAGCGCCGCGGAAAAGCGCATTCGATAGCCCTATTAACGCCCTTTCTGAGTAATTTTCTCAGATTTGACCTAACGTCAACGGTTTTGCCTGCAGGGGGCAAAAACTGCAAAAATAGCCGATTTTTTCGGAAAGTTTTTCTGCAATAACTTTTGACCCAAGCCTTGTACGAGCTTACTTTCACCGGCATCGTGTTCCTCTCGTCAAGACGCATCGAATGAACTATTACTTGACCTTGAAAGGTAAACTTGAAAATTTGACCTCAGGTCAAGCATGACCTGACCGGAAAGGGTCATGTTGCATATCAGTCGATCCGTATCGTCGAGCTGAACACACATATGGCGTTTTCATCGCTCTAGCATGCCTCTATCAAAAGTTATTTGCGAAAAACTGTTAGATACCATTCGTGACCTAAGATGACCTCAGGGCATAAACAGGGGTCACGGACACCATTTTCATGTTCAGTGTGTCTAAACCACTTGTAATTCAGTGTTTGGGAGTGTTTATAATGTCTTTCGTCCAAAAGAGGCGCATTTCAATTTTCTCCCATTGACTTATAATGGGGAGGTCGCAAAATTGACCTGACCTTAGGTCATCGATATCAAAATTCTGAGATATACATTTTGTACATGCTATTGCTCTTAGCAATCGCTGAAAGTTTCAAAGCGATCGGTCACTCGGTGTAGCTATGACAGACATTGAAACTTTTTATGAGGTGAGGTCACTTCAAGTGACCTGGTGACCTGACCTTGAATGACCTTGGTCTGAAATTTTTACAACATGTGTAGAATTGATGTATGATAAGGTGTACCAAAAACGGCGGCGCTCCGCGCCGCCGTTTTTGAGATATTCGCGAAAAACCACAAGGGGGGGGTGTTCAAACACCCCCCCCCCCCAGCAGGGCGCGGGGAAAGTTACTACGGCCTATGGGCTACCCGATGATGTGCTTTGATTTGGAATTCGGTCAATCCCTCTACTCGAAAACTGCTGTGCAAGTGTATTTTCGACATAGCCCACAAATGACCTAAGGTCATCGCATGACCTTGAGAGGTCAAATGAGTGTTGGGAAAGTAAGATTAGATGCTGGCGAGTCGATTGGTGCCATTTATAGCGCTCTAGCTCTACTGGGTGGGCCACAATCTGCTGTGCAAATTTGGGGCACGTGACCTTTGCTGACCTCTGTAGGTCAAACGGCTGGGAGTGCCACCGAATGACTTGGACTGTGGATTGGGCATGTCATGGCCTACATTGTGTGCGAGTTTCAGCTTGATCGGAGGTGTCCCGAATCTGGGCTGAATCCGGGCTGAATCTGGGCTGAATATTGGCTGTCTTGACGGACATTGCAGCCGCAGGCATTGTAAGCATCAGAAGAGAACCTGATGTTCTGGAGATTAACGGAGCAGCTTGAACATGCTGGCAAATCTGGTGTTATTCATAGGTCTAAGCCTGACTTCGAGGAAATTTGAAGAATAATTTGAAACCAGTTGCAATACTGTTTTTCCAGCCGTTTCAGTTTCACTTTTCAGCGAGGTGTGCAGGGCCATAACAAATTATAATTACTTCAAATTATAATTGCCATTGCAAATCAGAGGCAGAACTGAATACCACAATCATTGAAGAAAATTCTAAAAGTGAAAATCACTGCGACGAAAAAGTACTGACGTCAGGAGCCGCGATTTCAATAACATAAATAACATATCACCCAAAGCTACCTATACTGTATTTTGTTTACCTCGGCCGCCGAAAACACGTGTTTTTTTTTCCGACCGATTGCATTCGCCGACTCGCGGCCCCAGATGACGTAATTAACAAATAATTGGCCGATAGAGATATTAGAAAATGATTTTTGGAACAAAATAAGAAATAAACAGGTAACACAATATAATTTTGTTATTTAATAATGTCAAAAATTTGTCATAACGACCCTAGATGGGGACTTTTTACTCTATGACGTCACGTGTGTCAACAGTTTTCAAGAGGAAGTATAACAGTGGAATAAACCAACCTCCATTTGTAACTTGTTCGCCATTTCTGTCGACATTTCACTGCTACCATATCCCAAACTCTGACTGTACCCGGTGTTCTATATACTCTGGACTGTCCCACCTTTGCATTAGTTCTGAGTTGAGATAGCAAGTTGGCGGCCAGGTTCAGAAACCACTATATATCCTGGTCGCAATATCCTCAGTTTCGTGGTGTTAAAGAAATTCGTTCCCTTCATTTGAAAAGTGGGCCTTAGCTAAGGCCCTATCTCTTAACTATTAACGGCCATTTGATGACGTCATTACATTACTCATTTGCCTTTTGAACGCCTGTCACACATTCAAGTGAAGTATCACTTGATTTACGAATAAGCCAATAAGAGACACTCTTGTTATTGTATGAGCCGCGTCATATTTGAGAGCAAATATATTTGCTGCCAAATTTCCCCTCACATTGACATGAAGTAAATCCTTCATTACGTCACAGATTCGATATAAATGACGTCACGATGAAATATGAAAGTCGCAATATCTCAAAAAGTATACGATGAAAACGCGTAAAAACTTGCAGAATTCGTCAAAATATCATGAGTAACGTTTCCGAATCCTAAACGGTACTTTTTTGAAGGTGGGATAGTCCCTATGCAAACAGCTTACCAACGACCCTCGCGCCAACGCTATGGGACTCATTCGTAAACAATGTTTTCTGGTCTACAGAAATGTATATGTAACATGGCGGGACCCATTGGACACCATCTTGCGGCCCATGGTCCCTTCACATTACAGAGTTCAATGGTGGTAGTATGTACATTGTACGTCGTTTAAGCCCAGGCTCCACTACGCGATTTTCCGTGCGATTTGGCGACATTGCGATACCGCATCGCAAAAAGTTCCGAATAACGAACTTTTTTGCGGTATAGCGTGATCGATATTGCGCAAGAAACATCACGCAATATCGTTAATGCAAAATCCTTCACGCAATATCGCAAACAAGTTCAGAATTCTGAACTTCTTGCGATGCGATATCGCAATATCGCAAACTCGCACGAAAAAAACGCGTAGTGGAGCCTGGGAGCTAAAAGGTAATCATGCAATGCTGCTGGTTTAAAAACGCAATATGAACTTTAAACCAGACCCTAGCCATCTGTGAAGCTGACAACGGACACGCAACCATGTGACAAATTGCTTGGCAACCCTGCAATGGCGCGACCAAATCCTAGGCAACATGCGCATACGGATACACAAACCAGCCAATATGCGAGTGAGGCATACCGGTCCCACTCAGGTACCTGGCAGCCGCCGGCCGCGATGGACGCGCTCCGTCCGTCGGCCGTGCTGCTCCTCAGCTGCGCGCTGCTGGCCGGCGCCTCGTACGTCCGCAGGCTGGATGTGTTCTCCGCAGGACCACTGGCCGAGTCTACGGCGCCGTCTCGTCTCAGCTGCGCCGCCTGGTGCAACAGGACGTCCGGCTGTGTCGGCTTCACGTTCACCGACGGCGGACAATGTCAGGTGTTCAACCAGGTCTACAACACTGCTGCTGATACCAGTGCCATGATGTCGGTCGACTACTCCCGCCCATCGATGTCCCCCTGTCCAACCGGCTGGTTTGCGTTCCGGGACCGGTGCTTCTTTCGAGGGGTGCTCGATACGGCACAGCTCTGGGACGCACACCGAGCAGCATGTCAGAGTCTCGGGGAGCAGTCTGACCTGGCAGTGCCGAATGACGTGCAGGAGAGCAGCTGGCTGTTGTACCACCCCTCTCGCTCCGCCGGCACCGAGTTCACTGGTGTAAAGCTTGAGGCCGGCGCTTTCACCGGCCCGAATGGGGAAGCCGTCTCGTTTCAACTGCCGATGTATCCAACCCCTGAGGATCCCGGGTACGTCAACGTAAGGGTTGGTCATGCAATCGACTACAACGCATGGGGCTCTGCGACATCATCACGCTATATCTGCGAAACACCCTACAAATGCCAACTGATGAGCCCCTGTCCGGCCGGCTGGCTCTTCGTGGACGACTACTGCTACCACTACGTCTCCACGGCCATGGCCTGGCAGGCCGCTGATGACCACTGTGCAGGACTGCAGCCGGGAGCCCGCCTCTCGCCCGTCATCAACATGGAGACGTTCAAGGTAGTCTACTACAGTCTCGGCCTGGCCTCATCTACCTGGGCTGGAATATCGGATACCGAAGTGGAGGGAACGTGGAAGTCGGTGGACGGCTCCACCTCATCTTTTGCATGGCGATCAACATCGGAGCCGAATGGTGGAACAGCTGAAAACTGTGTGGAAATGGTTTTAGGCGGAGGAAACGATTATGTATGCTCAGTCGCGCGGCCTTTCGTATGCCGTGTGCCGGCTGGTGCTTGCGGGTAGGCCGATGCTTTAAAGCCATCGACGGAACTGGTCCTTACCAATAGGACGGCCCCACTGCCAGCGCTGAGAAGCTTTAGCTGTCCCTGACAGGGCTTCGGAGTCGGAGTCGAAATCGGAGTTGAGTCGGTCGGAGTCGGCAGCTTTGCCCGGAGTCGGAGTTAACGCTGCATGGCTCAATGCCATGCACTGCATCTGTTTGATTGACGATACTGCAATCGAAATTAGATTCTGTCGAAAAAGGGCCATTTTGCTGTTTTGGACGAACGTTTTTAGCGAATGAAGTAGAAGACGGTGAATGGCCCAGAGCCTGCTTTTTAATTATTCATGTTATATAGGTAATATATTTAATGCATATTTGCAACGCAAAACCTTGGAACGCACAAGGGAACGTTCCAGGCAAGATATAGAGGATTCATCATGACTCCGAGTGGAGGATATATCCTCCAGGAATGTATTATAATACATTCCTGCCCGGGGCTGGGAAAATTTAATTGTATCACCGAGGTTTTTAATTGAAAGTACCGAGGGCCGGTAGGCCCGAGGTACTTTCGATTAAAATACGAGGGAAAAGGATTTTTTACACACCGAGTCGAAAGATTCATTGGCCAAAAACACGGGGATAAATCGTAATGAACCATTCGTGGCAAGAACAGTTGATCTTTTCCCGGCCCGGGACAAGATCACCCGTTTTTGAGTTTAAAGAACTAAAGAAATAAAGAATTTATAGCAACTTACGATTATAGTGTATAAGAAATGAAATTATGCATGGGTCTGCCGGGAAGATGAAAAATTATCAGCACTCGTGCCATCTTTTCACTCGGCTCGGGACCTTCGGTCTCTCGTGAAAAGATTACCACACTCGTGCTGATAATTTTTCATCTTTCCGGCAGACCCATGCATAATTATATACTTGTTACAGGCAAAGTAAAAACTCGGGCAATCTGCAAAATGCCTGACCGGCCAGGATTTTGCAAAATGCATAAACAGTTTGCAAACTGCCTGACCCACCAGGCATTCTGCAAACTGCCTGAAATTATCTGACATCAAACCCACACCAGCGACGGTAAGCATCATTTTTAACTGCCGCTTACAAAAGTTAATCGCTGTCGATGCGCACCAAGTGGGAGGACACTGCGTTCTCCGGTAGCACCGCCGAGTTCAGGTCACTGAGCCCCAGCGGCCGTCGGGTGCCGAGCACCGGGCGTGGTTTCGTTGGTAAACATGCGCTTGTTACAATGATTGCGCTGTTTCTAAGAGGCCGGTGACCTCTTGATACCTTCTTGTCGGCCTATGAAGGGTCCGTTCCGTAACAGCAGTTCTAAGGGCCCCACGCGCGACTGTGATGGCCCTAAACCGGTGTCTCTGAGAGCTCCCACAACGGCGCCTGTGAGGGCTATCACCGGCGACGGTGAAGCCCCTTTACCGGCGCCTCCGAGGGCGAGCCCCACACTAGGTCCTCTTAGGACCCTATATCGGCGGCTCTGAGGGCCCAACGCCGTCGCCTCTGAAGGCCCTACAAGTGCGCATGTGACGGCCACCCAACGGTGACATTTGAAGGCCCCACACCGGCGACTCTGAGGCAGGGTTGTGCTTGACTCATGAGTCGAGTCAGAAATTTGACTCAACTCTGACTCAAATGAGTCGGATTTGAGTCGAGTCGGATAAAATGTTGAGCTGTTGAGTTGAGTCAGAGTTGAGTCAGTAAAATAACTTTTGACATTGAGTTGAGTCAAACATTTAGGAACATGAGTCGGCTGACTCAACTTTCTAGAAACAATATATATATATATATATATATATATATATATATATATATATATATATATATATATATATATATATATATATATATATATATATATATATATATATATATATATATATGTTACAGGGAGTATGCGATTTCAGTTAGTTTGCAACGACCCTAGGGTGGTTGTAACCTCCCTGAACGATCAGTTTGTTTGCAACGACCCTAGGGACGTTACAAAATAACTGCTCGTTCCGGGACGTTGTAACCAAACTAGGGTCGTTGCAACCTCCCTGTTAGAATGCAACGAACCTAGGGTTGTTACAAAATAACTAGGGAGTTTAAGAATTCATCGAGTCTCGTTTCACACGAGGGCCGTCAACAATCTTGTCCAATGAAAATCTTGTTCAATCTAGTTCAGTTTAAAAGAAAAGGAGAACAAAACATTCAGCTCAGGGGTATATGTGGTGCCCGGGACAAAGCACGTAACTGAAAATTTTGGCAGCATTATATCGCCAGCATATGCTTACATGTAGAAAATATAGTTAGGTACTGGGGTAGGTGTGATGGATATCCGTCGCTATCCGTGTGCGGGTTATCTCATTTTCACACTTTTAGGAGTGCGGGTCCGATAAAACCCCTCGTTTTTTCGCGATTTTCTCGCGCTAAAAGCGGCCGATCGTGACGCAACTTTGAGTGTCCTCGAACTTATCTACGTTACTGGTTACACATTCTCTATACAGTTCATGATTCTGAAACCAATGATCTTTGACCTTTGATCTGATTTCTGAGACCATGGCAGACCGAAATGATTTGCCGCTTATAATAGCGCACATAGAATTGCGTTTCCAGACTTCTATTGTGATTACATATAAACGTGCCAACATGTGAACTGATGGTTGTCCCATGCATCATGATGGGTTTCAAGTTGACTTGTCAGTTGTCGGCCAGGTCAGGGTCATTGACGTTTGGTGACTTCGGGTGTCTGTTTCAAATTTTACGATTTTAAGGGATTTTTTTTAGCTTATTTCGAATCCAGCATTCGCTGAGACATTTGAGAAGTATTTGAGAGACATTAGTTGTGGTGCCAATGCAGCTTGCTACGAAGCTCTCGCTGGTGGTTTAGGTACACCTGCTATAAACAGGTGGTGCGGGTGGGACCCCTACTACTTGATCCAAACTTACCCAACCCAGCCTAGCATAATCCTCGCCCCCCCCCCCCTAGTTTTTTTTCGCGATAGCTCCGAACACGCCAGCAACAGAGAGCTGAAACTAGGATACCTGACCTTTGATTCAAGCCGGATCTTGTGACACCAACCAGATTTTCAGGTCAGGTCAGGTTATTGACCTATGACGTCATAAGTGGACGGTCCTCAGATGCCGCAACTTCGCAACGCCCTCAGTCCCAGAGGAGCTTTTACAGGGGGATGAAACTTACAGTACGTGCATCTTCTAGAAGTCTCACAACTTGTACCTCTAGGATTTTTTCCTAAAGATCACATGAGAAAAATGAAAACTGCTATTCTGGTGCCGGGAACGATCTCAAACTATCTCAAGTACACGAATCGTGATTTCATGCACTCCTTGTAAGGTAAGATGCTAATTTTTGCATTGTTGACGTTGCGTGACGTCATTTATGACATCACTAGGGTCATACGAGCTTTTCGTCAATAACTCCCGATCAAACTGAGCTAGCGAGTCGGTCAAGCCACCAATGGACTGAGGAAGACGTGCCGAATCGAATAATATGCAACATGACCACCTTTGACCAATGTCGCGACCTAGGGGTCTCTGACCTTACCTTGACCCGGGGTTAACGCCTTAAGATGACCTCACCCGAACAAAAAGTATACCATTCGACGCGCCTGAGAAAGGCGAGCACGTTGATGCTAAAATCGCGCTCTGCGACTGTTTTTTAAGAAGTTAATAATCAAAAACCGAACCCGTGTCTTGCGTCACTTGACCTGACCTCAGAGGTCACTGGTTGACCTGAGACCTTAAAAACGGGTACTAGTTGCTGTGTCTCCTAACAACACACACGCTCGTTTTTTTTTTTCCGCGACGCTCTAATTCCATCAGGGGCGAAAAACGACGAGGGGGTCGTACCAACCCTCCCCCTGGCCCCCGGAGTATGTAGAAAACCAACAGGTCCTGCGGGGTTAACTCTCGCCCTTATTTGTGATTTGCTAGCCGCAAACGCACATGGCGAGGCTAGGTTATTGGTTGACCTTCCAGGTCAGGTCAGTGACTCGAAAGTCGGGAAAATCGGGACCTGTTTAAACTTTGGAGAGTTAGGTTGTTACGAGGTTTTTCAGGGCGCTGATTACGAATTTCATGTTAGCTTTGATCACCGATGATGTCTTGATGTTTTTAGGCCAGGTCGGGTCAGGTCAGGTCAGGTCAACCAGTAGGCGTCTTGCTAGCTGTCCATAGTAGGTGTCAACCATCACTGACAGCCTCGTGACATACGAAGGCGCCAAAATTACTTCGTAAATGTTCAAATGGGTGCTAAATTCGAAATCAGCTCCAAAAACTAGCTTAAGAATATATGCACCCAGAAGAAGTGAACTAAGGTCATCAAAGGTCAATGACCCTGACCTGACCTTCACGTGACCTTGACACCCACCATAATGCATGGAACCACCATCATTTCACATGTTTGAACGTTTACAATTGCAAAAAGGCTGGAAACGAGCGGATAATAGCCGTTTTTACGAAGGGCTTCCTGGCGAATGCCCATCTAATTTGAACAAATCTGCACAAAATGTGTACTTCATTGCCGTCGTGAAATACTCCTGAGCTGAATGTTCAAATTTTATTCTCCTTTTCTTTTTAAATGAACTAGATTGAACAAGATTTTCATTGGACAAGATTGTTGACGGCCTCTTGTAGGTAAGCTATGGTATTTCTGAGCATGATTAATAATGTAAATAGAGTGAATAACCTTATGCTCATGTTATATGTTGCAAATTGATATAATTAAAACGAAATTGATATATTTCGATATTGCACCGTCATCAGAATAAGAATAGCAATTAAGCAGCGAAACAAAGCTGATTCAAACGGAATACAAAACGTGCATCTTTTGGTATGGTTCTCGTTCGATAAGGTCGATCAGTACGTAAATACAATCATCCAGGTGCGTGTCAACATTTGCAAATTATACATGATAATGCTTTAAAATATACATGATGCACATCATGCCAAAAATACATGTACGCATACAATATACATACTTTACATAATAGGTGGATACATACATATGCGCATACAATATACATACTTTACATAATAGATGGATACATACATATGCTCATACAATATACAATATACATAATACATAGATACATACATAATATGCATATACAATATACATGTTACAGGGAGTATGC